AGTTCATTTAGATTCAATTTACCGTCGTAAGATCATTGAGACTTTGTTTAAATGCGCCATAAAAACCTTATTAAGATTTTCATTGTTGTTACTAATACTTTTGCTAAAAGCTGCAAGTTTCCTTTAGATACCGGATTGGTAAAAAGCGCGTAAGAAATAAAGACAGGTCAAAAAGCTATACAAAAAGAGTTGGGGTAATATGAGATTAACGAACTTGATGACAACTAACACCAAATTATTGTTTTTTCTCGATTGACCGCCATTGGCTACCGTGTGTGACGTCAACCTCATCCCCAGGGTCTTCTCGTTGTCCAATAGGACGGCGGCAGGAAAGAAGAAGACGAAAACGAGAAGACCCTGGGGACGAGGCTAGGTTATCAAGATTGAAAAAAAGCAGTCTACCGACATTAGTATATAGGAATCTTAAGGACATCTGCAAAAACGTTAAAGGGCTGGGGACATGAATTGTAACTAAGAAATATTGCGCATGCTTATGAAGATCCGAAAGTGTTTTTTGCGACCCGTTGTTTGCTTCTCGTAGTAGGCATCGTATCTCATCCACACAACCCTATTCTTCCCTGTTCTATTTTGGTACCCTGGGAGCAGAGGTTTTTTTTTTTCTGGCATGGCTTTTAGCACTTACCAATTCGTTCCAGTTGCTTCTCAGTCGCACGGTTGGTTAACTACGCGATTAACAAGCGACGCGAACAACTTTGTAAATGCCAATATCATGCCAGAAAAAAACCTCTACGCACAGGGTATGTTTTGGCGGACATCGAGTAAGATAAAACAAAACAATATTAAGATATAAGCAACCTTGTACACCAAAGTACAAGGAACGTTCTATTAATTTATCGAGTCTTAAGACTAGTGATTCATTGTAGTTCTGGCGAACCAGATTTGACAACAGTGAATTCCTCGATAGGCAAAACTGATCATCAGACCCGCTGAAATGATACAAGGTTACATGTATGTAGAAATGGAGATGAAACTCCTTATAGATTTCGGGCATTGAAACTCATTCTAGAAAGCAATGAGCGGTAATTGCTCAAAATTTCCAATCATTAGCTAACAGTAGATTTCAAGACACCACAGCTTAAGAACAGACTTCTGTATTTGATCTTGTTTTTCGTTTCATGTAAGGGAATTCAGATTCGGAATCCAGGAAATTTTTGCTAGTGGAATCTGGAATCCTGGACTTTGGAATCCGGAATATAGCTCAAGGAATCCGGAATCCTACTAACCATTGAAATGCGGAATCCAAATTTCATTGACAAAGAATCCTGAATCCAGTACCTGGAATCCGGAATCCAGGACTGTCTTGGATTTCCTTACATGAGCGATTGTTTTTCTTTAAATTAAAATTTCCCGCGTCATTCGTCCAATGAAAGCGTTCAACATGGAATGTTATCCACGCTTAAAACAAGCGCAACCCACATGTGGGCACGCGGAAGTCAGTGACCTTGCTTCTCATTGCGAGAGGCGAATTTGTGTTTCCAGTATCTAGCGGTGACGCATTGGTAATTGTTATTTGCAAAGTTCCACAGTTAAATGTACCCAGATACGGCCAGTAAAACTCAGTTTTCACAACCTGGCAAGAGACAAATGTTCCCTGCTGTAATTAAACCGTTCTCTGCACACTGATTTACCAAAAGCAGGGGAAAGCGATCCTTGTCTCAGAGTTACTTTTTGAAGCTATTCATTGTAGTTTTATACCTGAGGTAACGGTGACGACCATCACACAGATACCCTTTTCCTTTTCCTCGCGAGCTGAAAGATTTGTCGTTGTGTCGCCATTCAAGCCACATCATATTTTTGGACTATTGGCGTGCCACTGCTCAAATAACTTTGCTCTGGACGACGCCATCTTGGAATGAAATTAAGCCCATTACATGACCACTGGTGTATCCAGAAATCAGCTCCGATAGGAAAATTGGTCGCGCTTTGCTTCGCACAAGAGCTTTCTTAAAGAAACAAGTCGGAGGAACAAACATTTTTTGCGAACATTTATCAACGTCGCCTCAAGCAGCCAATTTTCTGTTTGGTGGCAAAAAATCGCCTGGTATACGGACGTTCTGAGGTCGCCTCAATAAAAACGAAAATTTCGAAATGATAAATTAGCCTTTCTTTGATTTATTATCTTGAGTTCTTTTGAGTACAGAGTCTCTGTTTTTCTGAGTCGTCGTATTCGAAGCAGTTATTTCGCCTGGAAGTTCAGAGCTGTGCCATTCTATTTTCTGCTTATGTTGTCTAACAGCCTCTTGAACTCTTTCATCCATCATTTCTTCGGTAAGAACGCCATCAGGGGAACCGTACGCACTAGCCTGGAATTAAAAAAACAATCAACAGTCAAAAAGCCTGAGCTTGTCTCGTCTGAGACAACCCAACAGGCGGCAAGGCGAGAGAGACGTCTGAACAGCCCACATTCGATATATTAAAAGTCTAACATGACTCCGAGGCTTAAGGGACAAAATTGCCAATTTTTTAAGACTGCATTGTCTCGCAATTCCCAGAGGAGACTTGAGCACAAAGAAAAACAAACCAAATATAGAAACATGACTAGAAATCCTCGGATGTCATGTCAGAATTTTGATATGTCGAAAGTGAGCTATTCACAGAGTTATAATGCCGTCCTGTGACATCACAGACTAATTTATGCAATCATGCATAAATGTCTAGTTGGCGGCCACGAGTGTGCTTTTCAGTCTTGGAGCCTTTCCGCCCGTTGGGGGTTGGGGCGAAGAGACGGATGACATTTCAGACTACAGCTTGTCCGCCACTGGAGAAACGAAAAGAAAACTGGAGCCGAAATGCGTCCCGCAATTGTTTCTGGGATCGTTACTGGGCACGCGCCGATCAGCTATTGGCCATTTTTCTTTTCGTTGTCCCTAGCAACGTCCCAGAAGTCTTCTAAAGGGGCGAATTGGCGCTCTGAAATTTTTTCTTGTCCTCATTACCTTTCTCGTTTCGAGACGTCTCTTTGGTCCGTGTTCAGAATGACGTCAACATATTTTACTCACCTGCCAGGCAATTGCTATTTTGGAAATTTCTCTCCCTGAAAGTCCCTCAGTCACTTCGGCTATTTGACGACATTTCACATTGAAGTCAAAGTTTGCGATCTTCAACCGACTGAAACGCGAAAATAAAACGTCAAATACTGAATAATGGCACCAAAAGTTATGTTACACAAAATCATGCTGGGACATCATATATAGGGCTGTAAATTGAGGTTGGCAAAGAGTTTGGAATTAAATAACAATGACAGCTGTGATAAATTGATTCTTTCTTTACACAGGTGGCTTTTTAAAGCCAATTAAATTTAGCCAAGTAATTTAGTTCGCGGGCGGCAGTAGAAACGCTCGGGGGTGGGGGGGGGGGGGGTGCCGGAGCCCGCACCCAACAAAAACCCCCTTCGGGGGCAGCTTTACGTTGACCAACCCCCCCATTCGCGCCCCCCAGGGGTTAAATTTGCGTTTTCCGCCGCTCATACCTCTCCCCTTTAATTGTGAGCACGCCCCATTTCTTTGATTTTTCTATTAACGTCACCGCGGCCCTCCCATACCTCACCTCCTTCCCCTCATTATGTTCTTATTTTATTATTGAAAATAAAAAAAAATTTATATTTTGTTTTTTTTATTTTTTTTTTAAAAATGTTGTTTTTAAAAGCCAAAAAATTTTGGCGAGTGGGGGGGGGGGGGGGGGGGGGGGGGGGGGGGGGGGGGGGGGGGGGGGGGGGATGCTCGACGCTGACCACACAGAAATCTCCCTTGGGGGTCAGTTTAAGCTTGAACGACACCCACATTGGTCTCCCCAAGGGGTTTAATTTGCATTTTCCGACGAGCATTCCTATCACTTTAATATGGGAGGCGCCCCCTCGGTAAAAACAAAAAGACGAGAGAAAACTAGGAAGATGGCGGAAAAATCTCGTGGGTTAAGTAAAACTATTGCTACTCGTGTTTGCGTGAGCGAGATGCTTAAACTTACCCAGCCCGAGATCCCGTGGTGGCTGGCTTTAAAACGTGTTCTTCAAAATACTGACGGACTAGCCTCACTCTTTCTTCGAGCGATGGCAGATCAAATTCGACCATCTCGTCCAACCTGTCATTGATGGCCCAGTCGAACTGGTCTGGCTGATTACTGGCGAGGACCAACATAAACCTGAGTATGCGAAAAGAAGCTCATCCGTTAAATATGAAGCGAGTTCTCAAAGGGCACTTCAATCCCGTAATCCCGAGGGTTATTGCAGCATCCCTCATTTCCCGAATAGTAGGGAGCTTAAGGTGATGTTACACGAGACGATTCACAACGACGATTTTAGCACAACACAGGGGTTGCAACATTGTTGCGACATTGTTTCAATGGTTACAACATTGTTCCAACATTGCAGCGCTGTGTTGTGCTTAAAAACCGTCATTGCGAATCGCTCCGTTTAACATCACCTTTAAGCAACGACGACGGCGACGTCAACGAAAACGGCAAAACCGCAATAACTTTGCACGTGCATCACGCTTTTTTGTACATTTCTTTGCCGTCACTGCACGATTACGACGAGAAAATGCCTAATTTCATGTTTTCTAAAAGACGTGGACACAAGACAACAACTTTTTTTTTTCTCCTGAACTTTGATACAGTCTTTTAGAATTCAACTTCACAAAAAATTGCCAACATTTGGCGTATTAAGATAGAACAAGCGCGATAAAGTTTGAAGCAGCGTGACCTCACTTTTTAAGTGACGTTTTTGTAGCCGTCGCCGTCGTTGCTGCTTAAACTTCCTCCTTTCAATCCCGAATCGCGCGCCATTTCTCATTAAAATCCCGAATCCCGCCCTTTAAAGAGGGCAAATCCCACATCCTGAACAATCTATTGCGGACCCGCCTCAAATATTAACGATTAAGATTAGTTACAAATATTTCTCAGAGATATCCACAAGCCGAACTGACATCTTGCAGGGGGACTTAACTGATTGGAGAGTTTTCGACAAATAACATTTTCTTGACAGTAGCTTAACTCTCTTTTTCGTCAACAACTCTCTGAAGGCGAGACATGGCGTTAAATTCCGAGGGTGCCCCGCCAAACTGTTAGGAAACGGTTTTTAGTTATGTCCAGAACAGAAATTCACGCTTTGCTCTAAGCCTTTCTTTTTTAAAAAAAAGTTGCACCACTTTTTTAACCAATCAGATAACGCAACCTAAATTTAACTAAAGCCTCACAACCCGCGTATATTGATTTGGACGCCTATATTACGCCTATATTGATTTGGAGGATCTAATTGACCACTCCAGAAAATACCATTACATACCACAATGCTCTATGTTTGTGACCCCAAAATTTTGCATAAACATTGTTTCCAGTTTCTCTTGGGGCCATTTTAACTCCAAGAAAAACTGAAGACTATGGTTATGCAAAATTTTGGGGTGACAAACAAAGAGCATTATGGTCTGTTATGGTATTTTCTGTAGAGGAATTAGTGGTCAATTGGCTCGCAACCTCGTTCCCAGGGCATTTTGGCTCGCGTTTTTATCCGAAAGCGGTAACTTTGTTTATACAGCCTCTTTTTATCAGTATATGACAGGACAAGAAACCATACTTGCGAGAAGATTCTCCAGTTCTGTAGAGGAAAGCATTGAGAGTACTCCGAAGATCTTCACTCATTTTCTCCTAAAGGTTAAAATAAAAATCTTCTAGTTAATATCATCCAACAAAAGTTCAAAAACAAAATAAAACGCAGGTGTTCACTTTTTTTTTACCTGATTACGTTTCCGCAAGAATGCGTCTGCTTCATCTACAAACAGTAATAACCTAAAAACAACAGAAAGAAAGCACCATAAAATCAGTGAAGTCACTCACGAAGGGAGAAAATCTTGAAGAATTTGTTAGCATTGATGTGGCGTGAAACTGGATACCTGGCGCATGCGTTATTACAAATCTGGACTGGATATTACAACAGAATATTTCTTACCCCCGTCTTGAGGTCTCGGCCCAGTCAAACACTTTATGCATGGCTGTCACGCCCTCTTTTCCCATGGGAACAATGTCACCTCCCGTCATGATACCATAGTCCATACCAGAATGCTTGGCGAGGCTCTACAACAAAAAAGACGCGGAACAAGTTAATTGTGGATCTGCAAGAAAGTAGCTCATTGGGTTCTTTAACCAGTTAGGAAACTCTTTTGATCTACTGGGCAAATTCTTCTCTACTATGATTAAGTCGCAGATTTTTTATTGCACGAAAGATGGAAGTCTAATAAGCTGGGACAGACAAAAAAAACAAAACATGACTGTTCCAAGGGAGGGCTCTCTACACACCATCCCCGCCCCCTTCCAAAGGAAATACGGATAGCAAACACAGCCTCTCTCTGGGATTACAGTGGAAACCAATGTGGAAGGATGATGAAAGCAAGAACAGAAAGCAAGAACGTGGCAATTTCCACTGGCTTTTGCAGAGCTTACAGAGAGAACATGGAAAGGAAATCGCCTGCAGTGGAAATGAGTGCAAAATGCGACCAGGGCATATAGGGAGTGAACAAAGACATTCAATGATAAATTATCTCACTTTTGCCCGGAAAAGTGATCGATAGTGAATGGAGACAGGGCAGGTGTGAACATAGGCCTCCTTCAGTGTAGTAATAGCCCACTTCCAAGTTCCAAAAACTCTCACTTTCAAAACCAGACTAAATGCGAAACCTTTCTTGTGAAAATGAGCTTTACTTGCATGAGAACAAAATATCATTTTCATATAACTAACGTCACACTTCAGTTTCGGATCCAGACCTTAAGATAAGAGGGGAGGAGGGGGGACGGTCTCAAAAAAAATTTTTTCGGCCCTCAGTTTGGTCTAAAAATAAGGGCCCAGGCCCCTCCTTTAGATCCGCCACTGCACTTAGCCTTGTTTTGAAACAGAGACTTAAGGCAACTCTGAAATGGAATATTGTCAGGGATAAAGACAACAGTTTTTTGCAAAGATGAATCCCAAAACACTAGCCTGACATACATCATGTCGACAATTTTTCTTGCTACACTAGCATGTGCCACAAATGGAACTAAACTTCTGGTTAAGTCTGTCAGTGAAACAGTGCCGAAACCCTTGTTCTGGGCCTCCACCTGTGTACCAGGATTTGAGCGCGTGCCAGGATTGGCCTGTTAAAATGCCACTAGGTACCTTAAGATCTCACGACGGCGACGGCAACGAGAACGGCACGAAAGCAATAGGTTTAATAACCAAAACAACAACTTTGCACGCACATCACGCTTTTTTGTACATTTCTTTGCCGTCACTGCACGACTACGACGTGAAAAAAAATACCCAATTTCACGTTGTACAGAGGAAGTACACAAGCGACGCCGAAATTTCCTCCCTCTTTCTGAACTTGGATATGGTCCTTAGGAATTCAACTTTAGGAGGGTTCGCCTACATTTCACAAAGCTAGTGACTTGGAGTAATCGCAACGAAGATTGAAAGAAGCGAATTCACTTTTTCAGCGACGTTTTCTCTGCCGTCGCCGTCCTCGCATCTTAAGGTCCCTTAGTTGTCGATTTGCCAATCAGGTTAAACGGATATTCAAAACCCATTTCCTGTAATTCATTGAGACCACTGGGGGCCTAGGACAAGGATAGATTGCATTCTGCGATGCAGGGTATTGCCGCACATGTTGTTGCGCACTTTAACCCTTCAAGCCCCAGTATCCACATACAAATTCTCTACACTGATCTCCATACATTTCATTTAAGAATAGTTGAGAGAATTTGGTTTAAGATCAAAGTATTCTCCCTTTGGTAACCAATTGAGTAATTCTCATAACCTTTACTCTTGATGATCTGCTGATTTTGTTAGGAGAAAATTGATGTTGATGATGTACTAACCAGGGTTATATTACATTCTACAATGCAGCGTATTGCTGCCCATGTTGTTGCGCACTTTAACAAAGTTAAGCTTTTAAAATTATATTGTTTTTCACTTTTACCTTTGCAAACATAGTTTTGCCTGTCCCAGGAGGTCCATAAAACAGCAAATTTCTGTAAAGCCCTTTGTTCTTCTTTGTATTTGCTGTTGCTTTGCTAACTTCTTGGAGTCTTGTTTCAAGGGAAGGCTAAAAATTAAATCAACATGCGTGAGAAACGTTTCCACGATAGGCATCCTGTACGCGACCACCAATCTAAAACACCTTTTTTCCCCAGTCAAATCCTTATACTGTAAATCCTCTATTAAGTGCCCTGGGTCTTATTTATTTCAAGCCCATTTGACGGGGGGCTTAAACCACTTCATAGAGACTTTCTTCCTTTAAAAAGGGGGGAGGAGCTTATTTAAGAGGGGAAGCTTAATAGGGGAATTACGAATTCTCCATTGTGTTTAACCTCTTGTTAAATAAAAATTGACTTGAGTTGAATATTCATCCTGGCTTTGGCTTGTTCTAGGCTAGAATATTTACCTCATATGGTTTACTAAACAGCATTTCTTCAATCCGGTGTAAACAACTTGAATTTAAAGATCAAGGGTGCTGTAACGTCTGTGGCGTAATGCTGGGTATTTGAGGTTAGTCAGGCACTTATAAAAGCTGGATAATACTTACTAGTAAATGTGCACCCAGGTTTTAACAAAGAAAAAACACTTACTTTCAAAATTATTCCTTGTAGTGAGTCCTCATAGTTGACAAACATCTTTCTAAAAGTCTAAAGAAGAAATTAAAACAAAAGACAAGGATGCTTACTTAAATAAGAGCTACAGCTAGAGGTAAAGGGAAGCTTCACAGTCATGAAACTCAATAAACAACATTAACTAACATTCCAGGCATGTTTACAAATGTACGTACCTGTACAGGGTGTCTTACAGTACCAAAGACACTTAATCTTGAGGTGTCGCGAACAAGGCTTGGTTTTCCCAGACGTGCTTCAATATATCTACAATACAAACAGAAACTTGTCTTATTCTAGCTGGGTTTCCATCCCCCTCTTGAGTGTAGTATTTGTTCTTTGTGCAGGCTAACTTATCAAACAGCAGCTGGTAATTTGAGCATAGACTCAATCACCTATTGTAAGGATGTGAAATGTTACCCATATATAAGCCTGACACCTTACATGGTGTTACAGGGGCTAAGTCCACAAATTTAGGCAATTTCACCCCTTGATCAAAGTTTTCAAACAAAATAATATTGCGAAACATCAAATTGAAACACAACCACAGGAAAGCCAAATTGATAAGAATGTGCAATTTAGAAATTTCCTACATGTAGAACGAATCAATCAATAAACTTTAATGTTAAAAAAAATACACAATTGCGGAAAACCTGAAGGTAAATAACTATCATGCTATTCCAGTTGGGTTTAAGAAAAAGAGGGAAAATAATTTATACAAAACAACTAATCCTAGAATTCCTAGACACAATCCAATGTCATGTATATTGTTTTGTGATACAACTGTTTATTGCCAGAGTCAAAACAAAAACAAATTAATGACGGAACTAACCTTGCACCTACTCCAGTACCATATTTAGCTGTATAAACTCCTAGAGCAAGGAGTGTTAGACCAGCAGCCTGAGAAAGGAAATAAAACAAGATCAGAGTTGGCAATTGAGAAAAAAGATGAAATCCTGTGGTTTGACCATTACAATGAAACCTTTTCGGGTGTGTTTTTCCATTGGCTTATTCATTTTAACATATTTGCAAAATGAACTTTGTGATTTGGAGAACTCGAGAGATTTTCATACATAATTTGAATAAGGGTTAATATGATGTTCACAGTGACTCATCTGAATACATGTACCAGTACATGTACAAGGTGTAATTACACACAAATTTTTCATATTAAATTGCTTAATTCTTTGAGTCATACGTATTTCTTTTACAATGTGAGAATTAGAGCTGTCGTTTATGCAACTTGAAGAAATGGTACAGAAAAAAGGCAATTATTGAGTAAGAAATACATGCATTTCTGGTGAAAAAAAAAATTCTGCAGCTTGAGACTGGGGGGCATTATATTTAGTGGAATTTATAACTTACTGTGGCTGAAATTTTATCCCAGTCAGAGATGAAAGCATTGAACCCTGCTCCCAGTATGCTTCCAGCTGTCCTGGAGAAATTAAGGAAATAAGAGATAAGATAAACTCCACAATTAGGCAAACAGTGGGCAAGAAGAGAAGAGAAGAGAGGATAGGCTTGTAGAAAGGGTATAACTGTAGGTATTAGAAACGATATAATTTTGAAGAAGAAGAATTCTAAGACCAGAAACCTCAGAAAAAATTTCGAGCTCCAGGTGAGAATTGAACTCAGACCCTCCGAGTTCTATCTCGGATTCTCTAACCACTAAGCTACTGGAGGGTCTATGGCAAGCAGGGTCGAAATTTAATAACTATGATAACATTACTACAACAGTCATAAAGGACTGTATCAGGGATTTGCTTGAAATTGGCAGAGATAAGAGGGGGACTGGTGTGGCTTGGTGAGAGGGGTACAGTTGTATTCTTACACCGAAGGGTGGGGCTAGAGAAAAGGTGCAGAGATAACACTGTTAACAAGCCAAGAGGAGAGTTGTTGGAGGATGGAAGAAATTGGATTCATGATCAGAAGGGAGGAGACAAGGAGATGAAAAATAATAATGAAAAAAGAAACACAGAAACAGGGGAAGAGAATACTATAAGATTGTGTAGTAAGAAAGGGGACGAATCTCGGCAAATTAAGAAAACATATAAAGGAAATTGAAAGGACAACTAACTTGATTGACTGTAGGACAGTTTCTCTTTGTTCTGCAGCCTTCACTCTAATCTTTTCCAGCCTAATGTCCTTGTTTTCTCGCTCTATCTGGGCTCTGTAAAAAGGGGCAATGAAAGTGCAGTGTTTTCACACTTCTGTAGAAAAATGTTGTTAAGGATCAGGGATATTCATATGTAAATAAAAAAGGTGAATATACATATGTACTGTAAGTTGTGGTTCAATTTTATCCTTGGTTTAAATTTTCTTTTCGTTTCTTTCAAACTCATTTTCATACATTACCACACCCAAAAACAAAAGAAAATAAAATTCAAACCAAGGATAAAATTGAACCACAACATAGATATATATGACTGTATGGTATGGATTTGGGTGTAAATATATTTATTTAAAAAAAAGACAATCTGAAAGAAGGAGAAATCTAACACCAGAAAGCTCACAAAAAATTCTGAGCACCACACGAGGATCAAACTCATGACCCTGTGAGTTCTAGTTTGGATGCTCTAACCAGTGAGCTACTGGAGGCTCTATGGCCAGCAGGGTCGAAATTAAATCATTATAAAACAAGCCATATAAAGAGGACTATCAGGGACTTGTTTGAAATCGGCTTTTTAGCAGTAAACATTCTACAAGATTAAGATTGTGTAATATAATTTGGAAGGCAGAAAGCACAGTTTAATTGTAATTTAATATACCACCCACAGAGGATGAATGATGTGATCCTAGCTGTACTATGAAGAAAATATCTCTTACTTTCCCCTTAGTTCAGCTTCCAGCCTTTTCATTTCATTTTTATGCTGTAGCTCAGCTTGATATTCTATTGTTCCTGAGAATACAATAATAAGAAATGGTGAATGTCTTGGCCCTACAAATATGCAGTAAAACTTTCTGCCCTAAGAATAATGCAAAATTGACATTTCCCACTAATGAGACCAAAAATAGTCAGCACTAATAACTGTGTGCTGTTATTATTTTAATATATATTACTGGTCCCCAAGTGCGGGGCAAGATGAAGCCAATCCTGTGTTCTGATTGGCTATTTATTCATGAGCAGGTAAGATGGCCCTGTATTGCCCACTTGGGATTTCCTGCTCTGGTCCTGCATGCAAGGAAAAAGTTCTGTTGGCTATAATAAATCCTTTATTAACCAAGCTTATCTTGTCAAGATGATATGATTGAATATGAATTTATTGGCTTCCTTCTTTTTTTGCATTCATATCGACCTTGAATTTGTCTTGATCCATAAAGCAAAGAAAAAAAAGACCTTGGCCAATATTCAGACACACATCTTGACCTCATACATGGTAGATAATGCATATCTATTTAGTTGTAAGAAGCTCTTTGGTGAGGGTATAATATCTTACTGAAAAAGGTGCTGTGGGATGAGCCCTGGCCAGACTATCAACCAAGCTCTTAATAAAACTGGTTATTTCACACAAACTGGAATTAAAACCTCTCAAAAAACCTGTCACCTGAAGAATTAAGCAGACACCTTCATATAAACTAAAGAATAGCAAGGATCCTATGAGTCTCTGCCTTAACCCCTCAAGCCCTAAGAGTGATCAGCATCAAATTTCTCCTTGTAATATCAATGCTTTGTAAAACAGACTGGTCATGAGCATTATGGACATGATTACACAAGATGAATTTGCTTGATATTTTATCAACTTCTCCCCACTACTTCTGTAGGAAATGGATAGGGGCAAAAAATGAGAATTCAAATTTTGATCTTAGAGTTTAAAGGGTTAAACAAGTTTCCTTGCTAAGCTGTTAGTTCTTTTATTCATTGTACCTCGTTTCATAGCTTCTTGTTTCCTTACTGACTCCTCTTGCTTAGCTAGATTATCTTCATTCATACGTCGCTGTTAGAGAAGGAGTCGGAGACAAACAATCAAAGACAAGCCATTACTCATTCATGGTGCCATATAATTGGCAATGTAAACTAAATTTTTGAACTTACACTTACAATAAATTATTTTTAACCCTATATAACCTCTAACTCTTACCTTAGCCCTTTAAATTAAGCTCTACGTTTGGTTTTAAATTAGCATGAAAGTTGTCAGCTTAATATAATCATGTTTAGAGTATTGGTGACAGTGAATCACATGGTTTTACCTGTTGTGTAAGTTGATCATCATAGCGTTTCCTGGCTAACTGATCCTGGTATTGTGCTCGCTGGTAACATCAACAACAATATTCAAGTAATAATTAATAACTCTGAGTTTAGAGTGTTACGGATAACAGCTGTCAATGGCTTAATTACCACCCAAACAAAATATGTAGCTTTGTTTATAAAGGCTTTATGGCTGGCAGTATGGCCAAGTGGTTGGCATGGCATCAGACTTGCAATCAACCTCAAATATTGTAAATAGCTAACTGGTAAACCTAAATTTCCAATAGCAACTTTGGGGTGCCTGTAAAGCAGCTACACAGTACAAGAGTAGCAACAGGGTTTCATGGAACGATGGAAAGCTGCCCAGCTATAACATAAATTAAAAGGTGATTGAGGTCTTTAAAATCCAGTGTTTTTAGAGGGGTTCAGTTAGGAGGGTCAGTAGGGGTTAGCATTTTGTCCAAAGTTGCAGCAAGAACACTTACCCAATAGACAAACCAGTTCTGTAAAAGGAATGGGGGTGGCAAGGGCAGGGGGTCTTGTCATGAGTTCATGAACGACAATTTTGCATTTCATGAAACAAATAGTGTAATTAATGACCTTCGATTTTGGCTAAGTGTTCGGGTGATCTATGAGTAGCTATAAATTCCCTAGGGAAGCCAGTTGTAGGTGGGTCAGTTAGTGCACTAAAGTGTGAAGTTACAACAAAAGACTCAAAAGTGAAGTTAAATCAAGCCACTAGATGCTAGTTAAGGTCGTTTGGCCAAAGCAATGATTTAATTTCTTCAGTTCTGTAACACAGCATGCAAGTACTTAGGAAAAATGAGATTGGAAATATTAAGTAAAAGTTAAGTGTAAGTTACCTGTTGGTGCTGTTGAGTCTCTGCAGCAAGAGTTTTTCTTTTCTCTTCTTGCTCAACTCTTGTTTTGTCCAACTTCATGCCTTCAATATTTGCCTCAAACTCCTAAAAAATGACAGAGTCAAGGACAAACATGTTTGATTTTAGTGTTACCAGCATAATGAGGCCCTGTTAGGGTGAAATAGTGACAAGTGACTTGGCCTTGAAATCCCAGCAGACTCCTGGGAATTCTTGGTGGGGGGTGTGCCACCCAGTTCACCAAATCCTGACCCTATTTCATACCAAAAAATGTCATTTTCCACACCTGTTTTCAGATCAGTCCTCTAAAATCCACACCCATTTAAACGGGTGGTCTGCCATTCGTGGGCATGGGTTGTTTGGGGAAGGAAATTGTTGTGAGACCAAAATAATATTGGTGCATCATGCATCTTGTTGTCTCACAGCCAAGTCTGGTCAAACTAAATAAAAATGACACTTACCTTAATTTTGCGCTGTTGTTCCAATTGTTTTGTTGATTCCTGCATTCGAGCCATTTCCAGTGCCTCCTTAGAATGATCTTAGAGTTGAATATAGTAACAAAAAAAATTAATATTAAGAAAATATACATGCACGAAATCAGCTGTTTGTAGTTTAACTTCAATTTGTACATAGTGTAGTGTACCAAAATTTACCTGTATTCTCAGTGTGTCAAAGTTAAATTGTTTTATACACTTACGTGATTTTTCAAGCTCTCTTGCAGCTTTGGCAGCCCGTTCAAGCCCTGAAGGATCAAAGCTTCTCCACACAGGAGCAGTCTTGCTATCGCCTGTGTCATCTTTTCCTCCGCCATCCTCTCCGCCTTGATCACCTCCTCCGGGCGATCCCGGGATTAATGGAGGTTCTTCCCCAGGTGGAGGGGGCTTGTTGACTCCAAATAACCAGGACATGGAAAAAATAATGACAGTCTAGCGAAAACAAGAGGAATTTTCGACAACTCTTCGATATTTCTGATGCAAGTTTTTCCACACGTGCAAGTTGAGTTAAACCGGCGGCCTCGACCTCACGCTAATGGAAAACTCCGCTGGGTTAGTTGATCGCGGCTCGGTTCAAATGACGTCACTTCCAAGTTCCTAAAAGAGAGGAAAAGGGAAGTCTGGAAGCAGAATTTCTTTGCTGTTGTCGTTCAAAGTGTTTACTTACTGGAAATCGTCAAAATGTAAGAAAACCTTGTTATTTTTTATTCAGAATCGTACACTTAACCGTTTTGTGTTTACGAATTTGACTTGGTTCCCATGCTGAAGTCGTTTGTTACTTCGCGCTTTCTTTTTTCCCTTGCTGCTGCACCCTTCGATACAAGCAAGCGACTTTCGATTACTTAAAAATTGAAAACTGTATTTCTTTCCTTCTAGGTCGAACAAACGGTTACAACAGACACAGGCTCAAGTAGATGAGGTAAAGTAGCCTCACATGTTGCATGTTTAGTCAAAAAACTGTTTAAAACTGAAGTACTTTGGTCTAATATGCTGTCACGTAAAGCAAGCTCAAATTTCTCTGTAAAATACAGCGGAAAACCGAGGCCATATTAACTCATAGGACTTTTTTTTGGCCTGGACCTGATTACTGTGTAGTGATTTCACTTCATTTAGATCTTTCTTGTTTTGTTACTGCTGTTTTTTGTAGGTGGTAGATATTATGAAAGTTAATGTCGACAAAGTGTTGGAAAGAGATGCAAAACTGTCAGAGCTTGATTCTCGCGCTGGTAAGAAATTTGATTTATTTTGATTATTTTTGTTTTTTTCTCAAATTAATGTTTATTTACTAGATGATAAGGGAATAGACCATCAAAATTAAAGATTGATTCCAAAATCTGTAGCTGCAAGCCGCTGACATGTTAAACGCAACATCATAGAAGTTAATTTTAGCATTGATCTCAGCTTCTTTAACCAAATGACGTTGGTTCTCCAAAAATTTAATCTATAATCGTAGCAACGTAAAAGCTACCATAATCTGATGGTGCTAATTTCTGGAAGTCAATGTGGTTAGTTATTAATCCGTTATAAATTAAGCTTGTAGTTATTATAATGTTGAAATACAAAACTGTACAACATTTTGTTCATATTGGCTTCCTCATTGACCTTATATTGTAAACATCTGAGAAAGTCAAGAAAGTCTTCTGTGAGCAACTAATTTCCAAGCATAATTTTCCAATATTACCATTGTTGTCCAGAAGTGCAAATTGAAAAATCAGAGCAACTTTTATTTTTTCACATGACAAATTTACAATAATTTCCCCAAAATCCCCAAATAAAAATATTTATTTTTACTTTATTATGACATTGTATTGTCATGCTAACAATATTCAAAGGCTGAATGGGCAAAAAGTGTCCTAATTCCTTAAATTCTAAAGTTGTCTTTTTTGAACATACACTTCATGTATGTACCTTGTTGGAGATGAGCACTAAAAACCACAAGCATTTACTTTAGCCATGCCCTTAAGTGTTTCTTTCCCTCCCCTAATGGATCCAATATTTTGAAAACAAGAAACAAGTGATAACCTTTTTTATATATATATCCTGGGGCACAAACTTACTACAACGTCTTTTGATAAATAAATAAAAATATTACTTTTTGTAGTTACAATTTTAGTATTATTATATATTTGAATAACATTATTAATTTGTAAAGCTAGGTTTCATATGAGAAAAAAGGGCAAGACACAGTCTTGTGGCATATTAGTAAACTTCTGATGTTAAAACATTCACATGGACTACCTTCAGTAATATGATTCTGCAGCTAGAAATGACCCTTTTTATGACCGATGAAACATTATCGGGCACCATCGTAAGTTTCTCTGATTTCTTTTTTTTTTGTTTTCTCTAATAATCTTTCACTGACAACTTAAACTACATTGTGCCATTCAGGGTAGTGTTCAAGGTAGTGTTGGTAGACTGTAGGAATATAATATTACGTAAATTTTATAATAGTACACACAATTGTGACTATAGTTTGTATTTAAAGATCTGATATGTTGAAAATTGAAAATATGTACAAGTTAAAAATAAAGCTCTACAAAGTAATTTCTGGACGTTATTTAGTTCATCATAAACCAAGCTTTGGAACTCTAAAAATGAGAGTCTGATAGTCTGGAATTTATGAATCATTTCCCCTTTGTACTCTGATTTCCTTTTTTCTATAAAAAGAAGCATGTCACATTTGAAAATTCCATTCCAATATAAAAGTAATAGCCTTGGATTTCCACTCAAAAGTCCATTTTTTGTATTTAATTTTTTCTTCTCTCCTTTAATTAGCATTTCCCAGCCGATGAATGTCTCCTCTCTTTCCTTCCTATATGTTAACCTAACTCTTGAGACTTGGCTTTTTGCTCTTGTTTCTTAAAATAATAATTCAGCCCCTTTCTTGTTTTTTGTTTGTTATTTTAAATTCACTGATTGTTGTGAGCTGCTATTGATCTTTTGGGAAAAAAATGCTATTAAAGTCTGTTAAGCATTTTTTCTGCATAATCATCCAAATAGGCCTTTTGCGTTAGTTGATTGCGTGATCAACTTTTGGTAAACACGAAAACAGTTCGCTTTTGAAACATTTTGTTAGTGGGAGCTGAAAGAGTGTATTAAAATTAGTGAACCTGTACATTTTCAGGTGTATATCTCAAAAGTAGCGATTGCACTGGCCCGCAAAAGTTAGAAGGATTTGAATGAGAAAAACAACTCTTGCCTTGTGGAGTTGTATGGAAAACCACTCAAGCGTGACTGGGTGGCAAGAGTTGTTTTTCTCATACAAATCGTTCTAACTTTCGGTGGCCATTGCAATCGCTACTTTTGAGATGTACGGCTGAAAATTTACAGGTTACCTAATTTTAAGACGCTCTTTCAGCTTGTGCTAACAATATGTTTCAAAAGCATACAGGTTTTGTGTTTACCGAAAGTTGATCATGTGATCAACTAATGCAAAAGGCCTGTTAATGGGTGTGATTGGGAGGATCAAGATTATCCCAGCAAATATAGTACATGGTAGTTGCTTCCACCGCACTTCAGCTCTGGCAAGGCAACTCTGTTGTCCTAATGATGTTTGGCTTGTCAAACATTGCATTAGTACTGTTTCCATGATATGATCAACTTAATCGCAAGAACCTACTTCTGAGGTGACCTGGGTGATCAAGGCAACCTGGGCTATTATAATTTTATGAAAACCATGCTTTACTCCAATTATTTTGACCGGCAACAATGATTCTTGCAATAAAGAAATTTTTAGGGCTTGGCTTGTATGAAAATTGCACCCTGCTTGATAGGGATTTCGAAGCAAAAGCACATACCGGTATTGTATTCCCTGTGAATTGCCTCTCACTTAAGGGTGTTACCTTACTTTTCCATGAAACTCTATCACAGTCCATTGTTATGATCTTTATTAATGTTATTATCATTATTATTTTTATTGTTTTTATTATTATTATACTATAAAAGGTTTCAAAATAGCAGCCTGCATGTTAACTTTTCACCAAAGAAATAGAAAATGTCATGCTTTGATCGGCCAACTGAAATCAAAGTTGCTGTAATGTTGTAGTAAACATTTCATATTAGACAATATAGAGCCAAGAAGCGTTTTAGAAACTTTTTGGAAATGTTTTAAAATGAGTAGAAAGAGTAGAAAAAGGTTTGGAAATTTAAAGTGTGCTTCAAAAGTTGAAAAGGAGAATTATTGTTCACCTTAAACTACTACATGTAATTATTTTACGCGTTTGTTCAAGCATGAAACATGCAAGTTTGTCTAGACAAACCGTTGCATTGCTGCCTTTATGTTTCTGCACTTGTAATCAAGATTTATTTTGCACAAAAAACTTGTTTAGTGCTGTTTGCGAAGCCTTTTCCCTTGTTCAAGTTAAAGTCAGTTTTGTATTCATATTGTTTGACAGAACAGATTTCCCATGTTTGTTCTCTGCCCTGGTTTGTGAGTGAAGAAGCACCACGGTTTGTCTTTGTCTGAAGGGGAATTGTTGCAATGAAATACGTTAATCAAAATGAAGATTCTGATGGTGATATTATTTTGGCAGTTCAAAGCATGTGTTTTGTTCCAATTCTTTTTAAAATCACTTTATATTTTCAAGGTTTCTCAAGGAAGAAAGTGAAATTTCAATTCAGAAAGGTTTTGGTTACATGTCATACACGCAAATTGCGTAAAGTGGAAACAAGTGATTCATTATTGACAACCGGGAAAAATAAGCCTTGGCAAAAAAAGCCTGCAGATTCAACCCAAAAGCTGTGATTTTATTTTGAACCCTGTATAAGTTGATAATTCCCGATTCACCCTTTTGCTGCACTGTGGATGTTAAAAGGAAACAGAACATTCTTTCTTCTGTCATCAGATCAACTGCAAGCTGGAGCCTCGCAATTTGAGCACAGTGCTGCAAGACTAAAACGCAAGATGTGGTGGCAGAATTGCAAGGTTTGTTCATTTCTGTATTTACTGCTTTACATTTTGATGAACCTGTTGCACAAGCCCCTCTTTTGTGTTTAATTTAAAGGCTAGTTTTCACTAGCGACGGAGTCAGAGTAGTAAGCGGAGTGGTTTAAATTTATTTCAAATATTGCTCACTGGAAGTCGTGCCCTAAAAATTTTGTTTTATTACCCCATTAAATAAAAAACTAATCACATCAAGTAAAGCCAACATGGGCTTTTTGAGTGTTCCAAGTTGGTTCCTCAAATTTAATTTTCAAAGTCAATATCCTTGGTGTCAGATCTTTCTGGATCAGACTCCACTTCAACTTGACTGTGAGAGGATAAAAGATTTAAGAGAAGTTGGGGAGAGGGGTGAGGTCGATTATTTGAGGGGGGTAATTAATCAAGGGACGGTTATTATTATTCGAGGAAATACTGTAAATGTTATGTTACAGTCAAGGCAGGTTAAATGTACCCCTCAAAATTGTATTAATAAATTTATTATTCGAAAATTGAATGCATGGGTAGTCGTAGATTTCAGATTCATCTCTGCATTCTTGCATGAGTGATGAGCCATGAATTCACACACGTAAAAGTTATTAAATTTCCTCAAAGCAATTTTAACTATTCAAAAATTTTCAATCTGACCAGATACAGAGAAGTTCTCGGAAAATATTTACTGCTCATTACGTATGCAGGAATGCCAATTTGAATTTGACACTAGTTACAGGAACAACTAATGGATTTGTTGTAGTTAATTTTTTGTCTCAGATAATTTCTATTTTTCTGTTGTTTCAACTTTGTAAGCATACATTACCATACCCAAAAAGAAAAGAAAAACAAAAATTACCTGAGATGAAAAATTAACTACAACAGACTCATTCTTCAAATAATCAATTCATTAATAGAATCTTGAGGGGGCGGAGTACATTGACCTGCCTTGACTGTATAATATAATAAAAAAAATTAGCACGTGTTTTGGGTGACCCCTCACGTGGTCTTCATGACCCCTGCTTGAAAGAATTAACTGGAATGATGTACACTCCCATGACATCTGAGTTGCTGCTCTGCCATCTCAGAGTCAGATATCAGTTTGTGGTCTGTTTTAGCGGAGCTTCATGTGCTGCGCAAAGCGCTGCATGTGGGCGGAGCCCCATAGCTAAGGAAATGTGGTAATCTACCCATCGAAGAAAATTTGGTAATCATGTGACCGTACACCGACTGTCTGTGCGCACCACAGGCATACAATTGTAAAATAACTCAATCAACAGGTATGGCAACCCAAATGCAATTCAAGGTTTTATTTGGAAGGAAATCACAGTCGGCTTTGGATGGCTACCAGTGGCGTATGAGAATTCTTCTTAGATCACAGCCTTGAGTGATTTAAGGGAGCCTTGTGCTCCGAACCTGTGAAATCCATCGTGACCAGCATATTGTTTTCACAAAAAAAAAAAAAACCAACATTTTCTAGTCACCCAAGAGCAAAATTAAAGTGCAAGTAGACACCAGGAATTGCTAAAGCAAAGCCCTAACTATCAGATGTTTTTGGAAAGAAGGAAAATAAACTAAAAAAATTTTTTTTGCAACATAAAGGACTGCATGTTAAACTTCATAATAAACTTGCCCTAAAACCCGTGAAATCCATCGTGACCAGCATATTGTTTTCACAAAAAAAAAAAAACCAACATTTTCTAGTCACCCAAGAGCAAAATTAAGGTGCTAGTGGCCACCAGGTATTGCTAGAGCACAGCCCTGATCATCAGAGTTTTTTGGAGAGAAGGAAAATAGACTAAAAAAAGTTTTCTTCGAACATAAAGGACTTCATGTTAAACTTCATAATGAACTTGCTCTAAACAGCTTATTATTTCAAAATCTTGTACTTCCACGTGAAATCCCCAGATGTGTCAAAATAATAAAAGTTCTTGTGTGGCATGTTATTTTGTTGATTTCTTTCCTAATCTTTTGATCCCTTGCACTGTTAGTGGCTTTGTGGAAGGATATAATTTTCTTTTTTTTTTCTGTTCTTCTTATACAGATGTGGATCATTCTCATTGTGGTCATTGTTGTTATTATTGCTGCCATTGTCAGTAAGTCTACTTGTAAATATATTACATAACGGTAGAGACTGACGTAAGTGAAGTACTGATAACTGTAATAATACGGCGGGTCAAGGAATTGGAGAAGGTGTTTGTTATAACAGGTGTTAGCCTGCAAATACAGCGATCGCTCCTCACTCCTTGACGCAAGGGACATTTCACATAAAAGATGTCTGCTCCTCAACGACAGAAATGCCATATTGATGACATAAAATCTGTCCAGAATCTGGTCAGGAGCTGTCATTGGTCAAAGTATTATTTCTATTCTCGTTGCTATTGTTCACGAAGTACAGACAAAACACAAAAGATCACAGAGGTCAAATGTAAATGCCACAAATCTACTACAAAACAGTCAAAATTATATAAATATATATAGTCTTCTTCAGAGGAAATGTTTGAGTTTTGCTGTGGCTTGTTTGCAGAAGAATGCAGAACTTAATTGCAACCCCATGAGTACCAGATTACAGCTGTTTGGGGTAACACGCCACCTGTGTTGTCAAAAACATTTCAGGATTTTGTTTTTTTCTGCAACATCAATCAAACCATTACCATAGCATCCACTGTGTTTGTGAAATAATAGCGGCAAAGTACACAAGCAGAAGCTGCAAATATGAATGTTGGTGGTAACATACCGGTTCGTTTTCACCCTCCCAGGGCTTGGAGATTTTATGGTTATTGATGCAGCGCTTTTTTTCTAACAAATGTTCTTGCTTTTTTTCCCTTAGTCTGGGTAGTGGCAAACCAGTCATCCAGTCCCAGTAAAGATGATGATACTACCCCCGCTCCTGCAACAAAACCTACTACATAACATAACAACACGTGCTGCAGTGTTACAACAAGGAACATAAATGAGGGCTTTTTACTATAAAGCTGTTTTTTTTGTAGACATTTTGTTCTAGTTGAAAATGAATTTTTTTTTCTTGAAGTGATTTTGAAGTAGCACGATTTTCATTCTTTGTTTAAGATTATGTTCGTAAAGTAGAGTAGAGGGTACTTTTTCATGATCTAGTGTGCCTAATACATTTTGTGAACAAGTAGCCTCTACTTGCTACATTTCTGGACCTAACTATGGCTTCCATGGTAAATTAAAGGAAAATAAGATAAGTGTATTCTAAAATCATGTTGACCAAAAATTCATTTCAAACTACAGCACTTGTGTATAATAATAATAATAGCTTTCTAGTTTGTTTATGTCAATCACTTTATATGCCTAATGTCCGAGCTGAATGTGTTCACTCTTAACCACATTCAATTGACACTTCTTTGGGGTTTACACCGGTTTTACCACACAGAATTTTCAACATATGAGTTCACTACTTACGCCTTGCGGGGCGTGTTTTGAGTACAAGGATTGGCTTGCAAAAAATTTTCCATCCTAGCAGGCCTAAGAAACCATTTTCAGCTGTTTTCTCCCTGAACCATTTATGCTACTTGTTGAATTAGCTACAAGAGTTTGCTACACCTTCGCCACACGTTGATACCAGGGCTAAGTTGCTCAAAGCATGGTTAGCTTTAACCATTGGTTAAGCAGTATCAAAACCAATACGTTGTCAAGGTATTTAACGCTGGTTAACGCTAACCATGCTTCGAGCAACTGGGCCCTGGTATGAACGTGTGGCGAAGGTGTAGCAAACTCTTGTAGCTAATTCAACAAGTAGCATAACTGGTTGGTACCACCTTCTCTGATGTGATGACATTGTCACATATTGAAGGCAAAACATCTCTCTACCCCTAATAGACTGCGGTTTGTGATGAGTCTGTGTGCTGCCTACTGAAAGTATTGACTTACATGTAGTTGGAGATTTGGCCTTACATGAACAAACAATTTGTAGCCTTGCAAAGCAAGCCTCATGCAAACAATATACTTTAGGTGCATGTCAAATTTTCGAACAAGCAATTTTTTTCTATAAGGCTTAAAGACAAACTTGAGGCAGTGGTGCCTTGTGACTTTTGTCGAGACCAACTTATCAAAGTGGGTCCTGTTTAAGGAGACTTGATTGTAAAAGTTTATCGAGTTTTGTTAAAACAATGTTATGATACTAGCAGTCATGCAGGAGTGTTTGTATTTGTCCTATTTTTTAACACCTAAACTTAAACGTCAGTTTGTTTTCAACATCTAAATTTGTATAATTGAGAGAATTAAAGTACTATAAGCGAAAAAATGTCTTCTTAAACTCAGTCATGAAGGGTGGTGGACTTGACATTTTCAACTTGGATTGAAAGCATCTCTGAAAATAGTTTAGAGAAAATTGCTCTTTGTGCTTAAAAGAAAATACAACGAAACTATATTGTGTTTTTTTTGTAACTAAAGAAGAATTCAAGAAGGAAAGGGGAACCTGGAACACATTTGAAGATTATCGAGGGTTTGCAGTAAGCTTATTCTATTTCTCCTCATAGCTATATTGATATGAGGAAGTTAGACTTAATAAATTTTCGCTTAGATGGATTATTCTTTTTCAGGGCTAGAAATTACCTTTTTTAGTCGACTTGCAAACCTTTATTAGCTTTTCACTGGCGAAAGTAACTTCAGATTGCTGTAATGTTTTCCTCGAGGGCCGTGGCCACTTGAAAAAGGCGTGTCTTTGACAGTTCAAACAGAAAGTCCAAGCGTGCCACAAAACGTGAGTCATCCTCTGTGCTTACGCAGTACAGCGGGAACGTACAGCTTAACTGCGTAACTACCAAAAACAGATTCGCGGGTTTCTGAGTGTTAATTTCCAGCCCTGTTTTTAAGGAATTTATGTAGACACGTTCTTGAAAGTGATCCATCAGGCAAGTAAATAAGTGTACATCAACGTAAACACGCAAATCAAGGTCATGGGACAAAGGTTTTTCCTTACATCATGACAATAAGATTATTGTTCTCTCTACTGTGTAGTTACAGTGGAAGCTGTCTTAACGGACGCTGTCCTAAGCGGACAGCTCTATTTACGGCCACTTTCACAAAACCCCGTTTTTCTCAACTCCTAAACAAACTCTGTATTTTTAGATTCCCGTAAGCGGCCAGCTCCAGTTATGGATACCTTTTTGACGCCACGAGGGATTCCGCTCACGAGAGCTTCCACTGTATTGTTTCTGTTCTTTTTGAAGTTCAGGTTCCTTAACGACTTCACTGTAGGGGATTAGTTAAGTAACGCATATAACAATCAATAAAATGTATTATTTACTTTCTCGGAGTTTTGTTCAGTGTTCATGCAGCTTCACTGCCAATGACGCGTTTTCGTCCCGCGCCATAAGCACACTACAGAAACTCCCGGATAGGATAGCAAAGGTATACCGTAAAGCATCGAAAAAAATCCTTTATCCCCTCTTACGACAGATACGTTAATTTAGCCCCCCTCCTTACCACTGGTACACGTCTCCTTTCTTACCCTACGGATACCTGCCTTTCTTTACCCCTGATACATGTCCCCTTCCTTCCATTTGATATACCTCCCTTTCTTTAGTCCTGACATTCGTCCCCTTCCGTTTCCATGATACACCTCCCCTTCCTTTCCCCTGATATATCTCGCTTTCAGTTTACCCGTATACGTCCCCTTCCCTTTCCCTGATACACCTCCCCTCCCGACTTTCCCCCAGATATAAGGCCCTTCCTTACCCCAGGTATTCTTCCCCCTTTTACCCTGAGTACATTATCCTCTATCTTTCTTCAGATACATACCCGTTCCTTTCTCCGGACATACCTTCCCTCGCTTATTGTGTATTTAAAGTAAAAGAAGCGTTTATAAATTTTTAAGGGAAAAGACTCAAGAACCTCGAGAGATAAAAAGAAGCGATTCTGATTGTGGCTTTTCGTCTCTGTTTTCCTTTACATCGTGGGCAAACAATCATCTGTTCTTTTCGTTTTTGTTGCTAGATCTTGTAGTCGTTTACCTCCACTTTTACTAGCTTCAGTTAGCCCCTGATTAAAAGAAGAACTCTCCACATTCTTTGCAACAACCTTTCATAATCTGCAAAACTCCGTGAGCGTTGCAAGCCAGGTTTAATTCGTAGGTGGTAAAACGCCCATCTCGTTTTACAGCAATGTTGCAAAACAAGTTGCACGTTTTGAGCAAAGGCTTTTTTAACGACGCATATCAACCTGAATTGAGGGCTTTTTGCTGTTAATGAGCCTTGACTGCAGCCATAGGCATTACATAATCATAGGCTCCTGGCCTTGGTCATGGTTAGTTCTTACGGCTGGTAATAAATCATGCCTAAACAGCTCAGGGCTTGAAGCGGTAGGGCTCACTTTCAAGTACCTCTATAGCAAGCTGAATATCGTGATCTTCAGTCCACTCCATCTGCATTAAAATAGGAACAAATTATTAAATACGAATGGCAAGTTGCGCGCAAAAATAAACAAGTTCCTTCATCCTGCTTTATACAGGGCTTTATTTTGTCGAATAAATGGTAACCAATTAAACACGTATTTTTTGCATTTTGGCCCACAACTTCAGCAGAAAAAATAAACTAAAAACTTCTTGAATGAAGAAAAGGGTAAAAGCCGATGTTCAGATGGTGAGAGAATACTTAAATGCAGGAGCCTATTACTTGTTAAATGTTATTATTTTATAGCTGGAAATTCTAATGCATCAGTCAATTCCACCAGCGCCCAGCCCCCCCGGACAACATGCAGGGCATTTGCCCACCTTGTCAGTCCCGCGGGTGGGGCATTTGCAAATTTTGCACTGCTCGGGGGCCGGGCATTTGCTAACCCCCGGGCCATTCCCGAGATTTTGACACGAACGCGGTTTTCTATACTATCAGAAGGTTTTACTGGCCAAAAAGCAGATTGGCTCATCTGTCAAGGACAGGAATAAATTGTAGAGGGCTGTAAAGGCATGATCTCGATTTTACATGTATGTATGAATTTCTTCGTTGCTTGAAGCCAGAATTGCGTAGCGAAATTAGAGCTATCGATGTGAATCAACATTTTTTGGTTATTGAATCAAATTTCTGTTGATATTATTTGAAGAACATTCTTTCATATTTGTAAAACTATTCATAACATATAACTTTACAGCGCTCTATTAATTTTAATGTCAATAATTTTATATCAATACTAAAACCGTAAACCGGTGCATGTCGTCGCGGGGTGAAGTCTTAATTAGAACAAAGGAAGACGTTAATTGAAACAAAAAATCGCACATTAAAATCCTTAAAATGGCACTACTTGACTGTGCGAGCAGTGAAAAATGTTGCAGTGTTGACGGAGGACGGGGCATTTGTCCTCTTTTTTCGCCCCCACCCCGAGGGATTTGACAGCTCAAGAGTCCCCACCCCCGGGAATTTGCCATCCGGGGGTCAGCCCGGGGGCGGGAGGGGGTGGGGCTGGGCGCAGGTGGAATTGACTGATGCAGTTGTACCACTTGCTACACAAGCTCATGTTATATTCAATCATAAAAATACTAGTGTTAAAGTAAGTACAGGGGCGGATGCAGGATTTTTTTTAGGAGGGGGTGCACTCGTCTCTTGCTCTACTTCAACACCAATAAACCACATAGTTTTTTTTTTGGCAGAATACCAGTTGTATTAGAAAACCGTAGGTCATCTCGGAGGGGGGGGGGTGCGCACCCCCTGCACCCTCCCCCTAGATCCGCCCTTGAAGTAATTGAAAAAGGTTTACCATTTGAAGGAAACTAGACACTTCAGAAACAGATCGAAGCGGTATTCTGTTATAAAATAAAGATGTTTTGAAGACGAAAACACGAATAAAAAACTCACGTTCTCGAGACGTCGCGACGTGCAGACGACGTAGGTTGGACGGCTGAGACATATGCTAATTAGCCCAGAAACGGGCAACTTTTATTTCCTGTTGCCGTCGTC